GTTGTTCCCCAAAATCTCGCAATACTTGGTTCCGGTCATCCTCTCCTTAATATAGTGCAGTGGCCCTGTCCCATGAGCAGAAAGAAACCCCTAAAATCCTTCAATCCTGGTCCTCAAGGCACCCTGCCCTGCATGTTTTAGATGTTTCCCAGTTTTCACACACCTGTTATCAATTGATAGCAGATAAACCTGGTTCAGCTTTGCTGAACTGCAATCATCTAAATCAGGTTTGCTGAACCTCAGAAACATTCAAAACATGCAGGGAAGGGTGCCTTGAGGACCAGGATTGAAAAACACTGCCCTAAAACATACTATGACAAAACAAACTATGAGGTCTTAGTGTATTTTCAACAGTAACCTCGGAAACGGTGATCCAGCTCTTTTCATTTCGTTAACCAACTCTGCCCGTGTAGTTCTGGGCTGATTTCTCACCTTTTTTTAGAATCCCTGATATGCCACGAGGTGAGATCTTGCATTCATTCCCAGTCCAAGGGAGATTGACAGCCATGTTTAACGGAATAGTACACCCAAAACATGATTAGCCTTCATTTTCTACTCACCCCTATAAATCCTATACACTACTGTTTATGCTCTAAAAACATTCTAAATGACTTCGTTTCGAGTAAATTCTGGATGCTACCCACTCAGGACACTTGGAATACATTGGACGAGCAGTATGGAGGAATATTGACACGTTTTTTGTGGACTTTTATGGACCTTTCTGTCTCGGGCACAATAGACCTCCATTATTTGAATGTCAGCAGACAGCAAGAAGCCTCCCAGATCTCCAGATGCATTTGAGATATCAAAAAAGTACTCCAGAGTGTTGTTCAGCATGGGGGTGAGTAGAAAATGAAGGCTAATCATGTTTTGGGTGTACTATTCCTTTAAGCTTCTCCCTTTTTCTAATGATTGCTCCAACAGTGGATCGTTTTTCACCAAGCTGCTTGGCAATTTCCCCGTAGCCCTTTTCCAGTCTTGTGGAGGTGTTAAATTTTGTCCCCAGTGTCTTTGGACAGCTCTTTGGTCTTTGTCATGTTAGTAGTTGAATTCTTATTGATTGTATGGAGTAGACAGGTGTCTTCATGCAGCTAACGACCTTAAACAGGTGCATCTAATTTAGGATAATAAATGGAGTGGAGGTGGACTTATTGAAGGCAGACTAACAGGTCTTTGAGGATTAGAGTTCTAGCTGATAGACAAGTGTTCAGGTACTTATTTGCAGCTATATAATGCAAATAAATAGTTAAACAGTCATATATTGTGATTTCTGGATTTCTTTTTTTAGACCCCTCCATGATTTCTAAGAGGGAGAACTTGCAAAATAGCAGGGGGCTCAAATACTAATTTTCCTCACTGTATATATATATATATATATATATATATATATATATATATATATATATATATATATATATATATATATTCTTAAAAATTAATGGCATACTTGATAAATTAGTGAGTGATTCGTATGGGGCTCACATGACACCTTACATTGAACTGAGCTGATGACATGCTCAGGAACACACTCAATACAGCTTGTTTCAGAGACTTGTAGTAAAAGTCTTGTAATGTATGTTAAGATCTAAATGCCATAAATTATCCATAATTTTTCAGCTGAGATGACTGACTTCCGTTTGCCAGAATGCTTCAGAAGATGGTCTGATCTTTATAAGGACTTTTAACTGTTAAAAATATAAAAGGTTCTAAAGTTCATTGAGTAGCTCTCTCAATGTCACTGGAGCCACGATTATTGCCTCTTATGAATGTAAAAGGAGCAGAGAATGCCAATTCTAACCATGAAAATCAAGACTAGTGGCATGAATTGAATGATTCTGTGAACCTGTCTCTTCAAGAATTAATGGATGGATGGATATGTTTATGCACTTAGCGGATGCTTTTATCCAAAGCGACTTACAAAGTAATGCCCGTGTGCAGGATTAAGGACAAATATACAGGGTTTTTCTGGTCAGTAAAGTTTAATTCAAGCAAGTTTTAACATAACCTTTTACAGGTGCATGTGTGAATATGCTATAAGGGACATCATCTTAAACAATAAAAAAGAGCTACATACATTCAGACAAAATATTTACATCTGATGCAGCATTTAGCTGCAGCAATCACAGCATGAAGCAGACGACAAATGACAGTAAAATCAACTATCAACAGGAGAAAAGGAGCAGGATATGACAGCTGGGTAATCAATAAAACAAACCCTCCCAACCACCCATAGGACTAACTCATAAACAGCTTATTGTAATTTTATCCATCGTCTGTATTAAAGCTGATGAATTTATCCAGATTTTAGTTTTTCTTCAGACGCATCTGAGTAGGAAAAAAAGGACTCTACAATATGTTACCATTAACAATATGGTCATTTTATTTGTATTTTTCCTTCCTTTTTTTTTTGGTGGTGGGGGGTTATTTGAATGTGATGCAGAAGGGGATTGTACATGTTTGATTTTGTGGTTGTTTTTCCATAACATAAACATTGGTAAGTTATGGCCATAAGAGCAGTCCAATACTGATATCGGCTAAAGTGTTTATATCAGAAAATGTTAATGTCTTTTAAAAAGGCCTTAAGACATTGTTTAAAGAAGTATTTTAGATGTGTTCTGATTTTATTTCTGTGATATGGTTAATGTTGAATCTAAAAGGCCGTTTTTCTCTACTGTTCCAGGGTTGTTTTTAGCACTCTGCTCTGTAGGAATTTGAGATTTCTTTGAAATTTAAAATGAATTAATTTAAATAAATTAAATTCATTATTATTATCATATCAGTGCACCCCTAGAAGAAGGTAAGATGAAGACTGATGAAACATGAGTTTGTGACATTTGTGCCAACAGAAAGCAGGAATTCTTAACCCTGGTCCTCATGGCCCATTATCTTTTATGTTTAGGAGGTGTGGTAACTGTACTCTAACAAACCTGATTCAAATGATTTCATCATATCATATCATCATCATATCTTCATGAGATATGGGTCTGGATATATTATCTAAATTCCCCTCAAAAGTGTCAGCCTCACTCATTTTCTATAATTTTAAGCTGATTTGATATTATTGGTGTTTTTAGGGCGTGGGTTGAAGACTTTTTGTTGTTGATGCCCCCCTGACCCAGTACAGAGAGAGAGAAAGAATCCTATCAGATGGATGGATGCAGAGATAAGAACACCCAAACCACTGGTGCTCTGAGGACTGTTATCACAGATCCTTCCTCCCAGAAGCAGTTAGATTATAGAACCACTTCTCCGAAATAACTCAGCAGGTGTTTAAATCCCTGCTGTCTTTGCACAGACTTTGTACTTTTGGTTAATAGTTTGTTGTTTTCCCCTTAAATATCTACGCATGCTTTGCAGATAACGTCATGCTACATAGTTTCACATCTTCTAATCTGAGTTTCTGGCCTCGATAACTGTTAAATAGTATTTTTATGCTGTACATTTGCTCCTACTGGACACTAGGGTTGTCAAAAGTATCGATACTCAAAAAAGTATCGATACTGAAATGTTGTATCCGGATACAATACTCCTTTTCAAAAGTATCGAGTACCAGTCGCACCTAAACATCTAAAGTGCAGAATAGAGGAAAATGCACTTTCTGAACACTGTGTGATTGAATAATTCTGTGCACTTTTCAGTTTCAGATTTTTTTTGTAACAAGTGCAGCTGCTGAGAATTATTTTTGTTTCTTAACCGGTTTGGCCAGTGTCATTGCTATGTGTGCAAAGCATAGCCAAGGAAGGAAAACTTAATTTTAATTTTGTAAGTTTTTTATCAAGCTTGCTAAATACTGTGCACAGCAAACAACCTCAAAATGTTGTTCTTATTGTTTATTGTATTTATTTATTTATTGTATTTTAATTATTAATCAAAATATTTCTGTTGAAATTTTATCCTTGTGGTAACGAAAATGGTATCGAGTATCGAATATTTTCCTTAGTATCGGTATCGAGTTGAAAAGTTTAGTATCGTGACAACCCTACTGGACACCCAAAGATCTTCAAACCATCAAAACATTGATACAGTAATACACAGGAAACATATTCTATTCTATTCTATGCTATTCTATCTTAATCTATTCTATTGCTCTAAGTTAAATGTCATGATGTCAACCAGGAAAAGGTACAAGGCTCCTACTGTGTCTGTCTGAGGAAAAAAAAAAAATTCAAGTACTTTGTTATAATCTTCCTGAGTGATAAAAAGTTGGAGTGGTGGATGAAAAAACACCAGGATTTCATCCTTTTCCTGCTCTAAATAGTTTTTAAATTGTTTCCTTTTTAAATAACATTATGGCCACAGTGATATAATAAGGAACCAACTGGGATGACTTTGTTAAATAGTGTTTTAAAAAGAGCTATCAACAGTTAAAAAAAAAAAAAAAAAAAAAAAAAAAAAAAAAAACGTCAAGTAATACTGGAACCAAACAGGAAGTTGTGGATTATTTTGTTCACCTGAAAAATCAGCTCTGTGATACCAGAGGGATTTTACATTAGTTTCATTTGCAAGGCTAAAATCCATCTAAATGCTGACTACTGTTAGCAGTCCAAGACAATAACAATCGTCTTTTTGCATATAGAAAATGAAAGAGCTATTATGTTACTCTAGCAGCAGCCATGTTGGATCCATAGGTTGTTATGGAAAAGTGGAATTTCCAAGTTGGAAGACATTTGCAATGGACCACATTAAGGATTCGTTTTATGTGTTCTTGGATGAGATTCACTGAAATCCAAACATACTCACTGCAAAAAAATGAAATCTAACAAAAGATTTGTGAAAATACTATTTTTTTCTAAATCTTGAATTGAGAAGGTAATTGAGACACTTTGCCAATTGAACAAGACAATTTATACTTAAAGAAAAAAACAATTACATTGTCTTATTTCAAGTATATTTCAAGTATATATATTTTAATAGTAAAAATACTAATTTCATTGGCAATCATCTTATTTGCCTACTCAAATTTAAGATCAGCACATTAAATTTAGGATTTTTTGTTTTATTATTTGCAGTGCTTGATGGTGCAGGCTAATCTCTGGGAGCAGGGGTTGATACGTTTTACTCCTAGCTGTGTATTTGTCCAAAGGGGGATTTTAGCTTTAATAAACTGTAGGGCTGAGGTACTCCCTCCTGGTTCTGTTTTCAGACTGCCCTCTCTGGGAATCAGTGGCTGAAGTTGTCATGGTTTGTTTCTACTCCTCATCTACTGAACGGCTAACCTGTTACACCGCATGTTGCTTTAGCAGGATAATTCATCCTAAAAGCCGTTCCAACATTATTTGGTGTTGAGTAGATAAAATCCGTTTCCAGAAAGAGTTGAACTGTTCTACTTCATGGCGATCATCCAAACGGGCATGATGACCTCAGGGAAGCCTTGCTGCCTCTCCACTGCCAGGATCTCCAGCCCAGCCTTGGATATGATGACCTTCATGATGTCCAGGTGGCGGCTGATGCTGCTGTCAATTGGGTCCAGCTTGCAGCCCTGCCGGGCCATGTTATCCTTTATGATGATGACGCCGTTGGGACGGAGGCTCTTTTTGCAGCGAATCAGGAAGTTCAGCAGGTCTTTGTCTGTCAGGTGGCCTGAGGGAAAAGAAGTAGAGATGTTTCAGTTGGTGGGAAGGAGCTAGTACAACCAAAAGACAACATCAATGCAACACCATAAAGTTTCGAAAATCAATCTGACGCCATTTAGTTGGTTTCAAGTTGTTTTGGCTAGTAACCAATATCCAACAATTTAACTTAAATCCAACTTTTATTTTCGCATCATAATCCCATGGTAATCCAACGTCGGGGTACAATATTGTTTTAACATAACATAATATCACGTGCCTGCTGGGTCCTCATCTGAGGCCATTTTAAACCTGTTGGTCCTCATACTTACACGCCACCCACTGCATCCAGATGATGTCATACTTGTTTCTGGGAGGCGTGAACTCCTGCAGGTTGTAGCAGTAGTAGGTCTCGATGCGGTCGGCGTCATCACCCAGATACTCCTCGTGTGCGTGGAGCAGGAAGTGCTCCATCATGTCGGCCATCTCTACTTTCTCAAACACAGGAAGAAGGACGCCTTTGGAGACGCGCCCGATCCCAGAACCACAATCCAAAGCCCGGTACGTGCCCGCTTTACCAGGGCCCTGTACAAATGATGTGAAAAATAAAAGCTGAAACTTTTTGGTCCTCAAATTAAAATTCATGAACAGGAGAATATTAGCTTTTAGCTTTAACATTATTTAACCCCATTTGATCTCCATGTATGGGGTGCCGTTTGTAAAGCTACGCAGTCAAAAATTAGGAGCAATATTTATGGTTATTTAGCGTGTTTTAAGAGAAAAATAAGGGGTTTATTTTTTTCCAATAAATTTTTTTCACTGTCATTCAGTAATTTATAAAAATCTTGGTTTGTATATAAATATTTAGTTTGAAACTAAATATTTAGTTTGCAAATTAAATACTTCGTATGTTGAATAAATATTTTGCTTCAAACTAAATATTTAGTATGCAAATTAAATATTTAATTTGCTAAATAAATATTTAGCTCCAAACTAAATATTTAGTTTGTTAAATAAATATTTAGCTCCAAACTAAATATTTAGTTTGGTAAATAAATATTTAGCTCCAAACTAAATGTTTAGTTTGCAAATTAAATATTTAGTTTGTTAAATAAATATTTAGTTTCAAACTAAAAATGTAGTTTGCAAATTAAATATTTAGCCCCACACTAAATATTTAGTTTGGTAAATAAATATTTAGCTGCAAATAAAATGTTTAGTCTTTTAAATAATTATTTAGCTTCAAACTAAATATTTAGTTTTTAAAATAAATATTTAGCTCCAAACAAAATTTTTAGTTTGTTAAATGATTATTTAGTTTCAAACCAAAAATTTACTTTGCAAATTAAATATTTAACTTCAAACTAAATATTTACTTTGGTAAATAAATATTTAGCTCCAAACTAAATATTTAGTTTTTTAAATAAATACTGAGCTCCAAACTAAATATATATTTAATGACTGGGGCTGGTGCTTGAATTCTGATAAACGTATTAATGGAAACATCATGAAACTGTAAGTGCACGGTAAGGTTGCGGGTTCAAATCCCAGGCTAAGTTCATTCAGCCCGGTGTTTGCATGTTCTCGTTGTCTCTGCAGGGATTCTCTGAACAGGCCGACGGTGGTAACCACCAGCAGCAGAGCACCTTCCCCTCCTGAGCTGTTTGTCTCAAAACTGCTGTTTACACTGTAAGGTTTATAATTAGAGCAGCTGTTAAACAGGTCCTGGATAGAAACAGGTCTCTGGGCCAAACATCTTCACAGAATTAGCAGCAACATCGTCTCAAGCAGCTAAAATAAGACTCCACGCACCGCCGTCATGTGCGGCATGCATGCAGCTGGTGCACTGGAATATTATTTATAATCAGATCAGACACATTCGTCTGAGAGACCAGAGACTATAAGAGCATTTGTTTAATGCCTGTGGATCTGACAACAAACACGTGGGCTGCAGGACCTTCTGTCAACTTAATCAAGGAATTTATTCTCCAGATTCTGCAGAAAAAAACTGCTTTAGACTCTAGATCATTAAAGAAACTGTAGTGTTCTAGAAGAAGTGATTCTGTCTAAAAGACTCACCCACTGGGTACATCTTTATTATTTAGATGGAAAACTGCTTTTAGAGGACACTTTGAAAGGTCTTAGGGTGGCTGGTTCCTAGCTTTAACTTTTTTTTTTTTTTAGCAGGGTATATTCTGGACAGTCTTGGTCCATTTCAGGTTAAAACAAGGACAGCAAAGAACCTTTGAGCAATTTAGATAACAGCAAGAACACACCGAGGCACAGAGATATATATATATATATATATATATATATATATATTTATATATATATATATATATATATATATATATATATATATATATATATATATATATATATATATATATATATATATAAAAAAGAAGATATCGCCTTAGTTCTAATCAATGTTTCCTCCAATAGATTTAGTGATCATCGATCCTAATGATACATAACAGGTTGAATTATTTTAAAATATTAACGATGATTTCCCTTGACATTTGTGGACAGGGTTTCAGTCGGTAGTGCAATAAACTCTTTTTATAGTTTTTGTCTTGAGCCTGACTTTAACTAGAAAAGTTATCGTTATTATTTTTGCTTTTTCAGAAAAGTCTAAATGCTGCTGGCTCAAAAGTTTTGAGTTTGCAGCCATTCCTTTTAAAGCAACACTGTGTGATTTTGACTGTACTTTTAGCTTAATCTTAGATCCATTAAATGATCCTTCAGCTCCATCTTCATCTCCTGCGTATCGATGCTCCCTCTGAGCTGCTCTCCTCTAAAACTCTCCTCTGTAAACTCAGAAGGTCAACCTGTCTCTGAATGTTTCATGTGACCCAGAGCACCGCTTTCCGGTAGTGTAAGCTCCAATTAAACAGCAGAGCCAGCTTAGCTAACTGTTAGCTTTGACCCATATATCTATTTCTCTGATGGAGGATTTCATCTAGAATGTGAATGTTTCAACGTCTTTAGCAGGAATTCCAGAACTTCCATACAAATTAAGAAGTACCGGCATTTATGCCCAGATCTCTGCTATGTTATTTATCCATCTAATTATGGATTAGATTTGAAGCATTAATCACTAAATCAAAAATAGACTTTGGAGTCCAAATGGGACATAACTAATTATACCATGGTCATGCAGCTCCTTGTACATGAAACTATACATGAAACAAGGTGAAATGCTTTCTGAATAGACAGGATGATGAATTTCACTACTAAAATAGACTCTGCCCTACATATATAGCAACAGGCCACACCAGTGGAAACTGATCCACCAGTGGGCAGAAACCAGAGGCTACAGCAAAGTTAAAAACTGATTGAGAAGCAGCTCACTTTCCTCTGAAGGCTCTTAGATAAGAGGTAACTTCAGTCTATTAATAAAAACACTAATGTTTTTTTCACACTGCAGAAGCTCTGTGATGGTTGAGATACTAATTATACATTTTCTATAGTCTCTTCCTTAACATTTCCGATTACTGCTTAAAAATGTCTGGACATAGATTTATGCCAATTGTAATGTTTTCAAGCACAGACAAACACAAGCAGGCTTGATCCTGAGCTGAAAAGATTCCTTGAAGTGTACTGTTTCTGTGGCGTGTTGAGCAACTCACCACAAACCTCTTCAGAAACTGACGGGAACTCTCCAGATCAACGTTGGAAATCTCAAGAAAATCTCCCATCATGCCCTCCTCAGAGGCAGGAACGTCTTCATAGAACTTCTGGGCTCTGTAGTAGAATTGCTTCTCCCCCTTGATAAACTCACAGGTGACGGGAAACAGCTTCACTGAGGGAACACATGGACAGGTGTGAGAACCAGGATGGTTTTAATGCTGGATTTTATGCTTCATACTGCAAGTTCAGAGACGTAGCAGAAGGTGAAAGTTATCAATCCTCCTTAATGAGGGATTAGCAGCTGGGGCACCTTGTACTACCAAAACTTTGACCCATTGATGCCCAGTGTTGGAAATATGCATCAATCCGTTTGTATAACTCAAATCACAAAGACAGAGGGTGTATTCCCTAAATCCACATATTTAAGACATTAACTGTGAACCTAGGAATCTCAGCACTTGTTTCTGGTACAAATGGTCATAACTGTTGTGACACAGTTGGTATATCTAACTTTGCCCATTTCTCAATATGTGTACTTGTGCGTTCTCATGTGCTTGTGTACGCATGAAATGTCATCAACCTCAGCCCGAGTACTGTTCCATTTCATAAAAACAGCAGACAGAGAACGGACAAAGTCCCCGAATGTTGTTCTCACCCCTCCCTCTTTACCGAGTATGCATCAGAGCAGACTTGTCCGTTCTTGAGATTGACAGCTGTCCCATCATGCACTGCGGCAGCTCACAGAGCTCAGAGTATAAAGTTAAAAGCTCTCTTTTCTGTTGCTTCTGTTCAATAAAAGTATGTTTTAAGATCATTTGTGACAGGAACATTATACTTTCTAAGTATCACTATTTGGCCCGTTTACTGATTTAATGCATAATTTAGAAAAACATTTCCGAAGTTGAGAGGACCGCGGAAACCAGCAGACCCCCGAGGGTAACGGCAGCCAGTTCTAATCCTAGCCCGTCTGCAGCAGCCCTCTCTCGGCATGTGTGTGAAGGACCGCTGGCTCTGATGGTGAGTTTTTTTTTTTGGGTTTTATTTGGCTAAATGTTCATTTGATTTGTGTTTATCTGACTATGTGAACTATTATCCCCCAATAAATAAAAAAAGGAAGATTTATTATAATCTAGAGATTATTAATAACAGAAGGTGAAATGCAGCTCCAGACGAGCCGAGGATGTGATGATGTCACGAGTACGCTTCTGTTCCAATTGACCCATATTTATGCTACATGCTCCCATTCTCCACAAGCCAACACTTCCTTGTGTTCTTCTCAAGGATGTACTTGGCGAGGACACGAGTCTATACTCGCGTCCTTGTGAATTGAGAATCTGCCTTTGTATTTTATTTTTTTGTGCAATAGTTGAAGTAACAATCTCAGTTTGACGAAATATTAAAGAATCAGAAGATAAATGCTGCTCTGGTGCAGATATTCACGGGAAATTGATTGGTTTACTCCACCCTGGGCCTCACCAGCCCATAAAGCTGCAAAGGGGCGTTAAGGCAATAGCTGGATGGATATATGCAAGTTGTAAGTAAGGTCTGTATTATTTATGTGTGCATACAAGTGTCAGGAGCTTCTGAGGAACTGGATGACCCTTACAGACAACATGAGGAGCATCAAGAGGAGTCACTGCTCGACTGCACTGAAGGAAGTCAGCTCAGGGGTCTTGGTACTGAACCGGGTTTCTGGCCCACTCTTTTTGCAAAGGAAGGGGATCCAACCAAATTCTGATTGATCCAACTTCTTGGCTGATCACTTGTTTTGAAGCATTAAGGAGGGATTCTAGCACAGAAATAAATCCTCGACCCGGATATTTTCCTGCAATGTCATGAACTCTGCCTCTGGACACATGAACAGCTATCTGAACACCCCCCACCCCACCCAAACTGAGGGACAAGCCTATATAAGCCCTGGTAAATGTTTTCATTCAGCAGGATTTATCTCAGCTCAGCAGATCAGATGCAGCGACAGGCAGAGACGGTTTGAGAGGTCAGGTGTTAAGATTTGTAATAGCAGAAAAGGCTGACATTGGCTTTGGATGACAACACCACAGCAGGGAAAGCTTTCCTGCTTCAAATAACTTTTATACTAAAACTATCCACAAATGCTAACCACTGCTTCTGAATAGTTCTGTTATGTCATTTAACAGCTGAGGAGGGACTGTAGTAGCTAAGCGTCAAGCTGAATATAGACTCCTGCTAATCTAATTACCATCCAACATTTCCTTTGAAATAGAGATCTCTTGTTGCAGAGCAGCCATCTGTCATGCTGTGAACGTCCCCTCCTCAGTTACATCATCCAAACAGGACAAGCTTACACTTTGTAACATCTTAAGCTAATCATTTTTTTTTAGCTCTTTAAGTCAGATACAGAACTTGCTCAAAGGGAAAATCCCTGAGTTGTGATTACGACGCAATAAAAATGGTTGACATTTTAATTGACATAATAAAGGAAATATACGAGAGGAGACAAATATGACCATACATATGGTGGAGAAATGGCGGTATAGTGGTTAGGGCATAGAGCTTGGAATCCCAGGGTTGTGAGTTCAAAACCCACTGCCACATTACTTTTATCTAAGGTCTGGTTGTAAAGGTAATAAAGAAATTTCTCTCCCAGCAAACATTTTCATGTCTTTCAATACTGAAAGGTAAGCAAACAGATTTATCAGAGAGTTCTTGATATTCCCTGGGGTCTCTTCAAACAGGAATTTGCCAGAAAATCTCTGTCAAAGGATTAAGCAGATATCCTTATTTGATGAACCACCTTGTAGGATTCCTGTAGATGTGGTGGAGAAGCAACTCCAGGATGACCGTCACCTTGTTATCCAAGGCATTACACAAACACCTAAAAAATTTAGTGGAGGATTGTCTTTTTCCAGGTAAATCATCAAAATAAGTGGTAGTCCTAATTGGAAATCATTCCGGTGATGTGTTTAGGAAAGGCCGTCTTACGTGCTCATCTCCATTTTCACTTACCGGTGGTGAGTCTGACATAGTGGAAAAATTGCAAATCTTCTTTTGGAAATTAAGCTTGTATCAGTGATGCAAAGAGCAACTCTTAAACAGAGCATGCTCTGGCACACGATTAATATGCGTTTCCTCTCAGAAGGGGTACAGGGTTGTGCATGTGCATCCTCCACTATACCTTTATGGAGCTACTTAGCAATTCTCTCTTCTTGGGAGCTTAACACATATAGAGGGATAGGAAAATCCAGAGCTCTGTATTTTAAGGTCAGCTCCTTCCTCACCCCAACAAACCAAGGACCTCAATGGGAAAAAACCAAGAACTTTACCTGTAGGAGAAAACTGTTTCTCTATGTGCCAGAAACACAGCCGGCATGATGGTTGAAGACTTGTGGATGTTGTAGGTGCGAGTCATCCTTGAAGCCAAGTGAGAATTCAGTGACTATCACCGAAGTTGACCCTTGGTCAACTGTAGGTGTTCCTTCTGTTTTTTTCCGTTATTAGCACTGTGTTAGTCTTTAGATAATGCTTCAGTCTGGTTCTAAATTAATAACATCAGTTAAAGATCACTGACTTTCAACTGAAAGGCCTACGGCTCATAAAACATATGTCTGTTCGGAGCGCCTGTAACCTAATAGTCACTGGTCATGTGACACCTAAGAGGGAGGGTAAGTTTAGAAAGTTCGAGCAGGACAAAGACGAGGAGACGACAGCGTGACAACACACCCCTCTGCCAGGGAAGTGTCACTCCAGAACCACCTTGTCCATCTGTTGCCACTTTAAGAGCAGAGCAGCTCGTTAGATGCTGACCTTCCACTTTCATGTAACAGAATAAGGAGTCTTATCAATGACGGAAGGTTTCACTGTGAACAGTTTAAGGCTATTTACCGTAAGTAGATTTATTTAGGGGTATTTTCCTTATCATAGATAAATGAAAGTAAAAATGTTTCCTTTAGCTGTAAATAATCCGACCAAGGCGTCATCATGTTTAGCTCAGACTGACATGAGGTTCTGCCTTCATGCTTATAATGCCAGGCCATTAATGGGCTTCACACCAGGACCGTAGGCAGGGACTGAGCTGTCTTTGTGTGGGGATGGTCTACAGGTTCTCCTGTTTCTCCTGTTTCTGCAGTTCGTGGTTGGTTGACTGACAAATGCATTCTGTACAAAAGAAGACCTTGAACAAAGCTGTCCTGTAGTCAGCTGGAAACCTGCTGAGTTTGAAAGATCTGTGGCTTTCTCTCTGTTCTTCAGGTTTCTGTATCGGGTCTGCATAATTTATTTGTAGTTGACAGTTTACTCCAGAGCTGATGATCAATTACAGATTTAGTGCTTTAAGGCAACCATAGGGGACCAGCCATCAGGAGAGTGGATCTATCCAAGGAGGACGGCCCAAACTAACTGGGGAAGCTCTAATTTAAGGGGAGCTCTTTGCTTTTGCCCGGAAGCAGAGGACCAGATGTTCACCCCTCCAAACTTGGAGAACGGTGATGGACCTGTCCAGTCCTCTTGTCTATCACCTTGCTGCTGAGGCATTTTGAAGGGATTCCTGCATGAATAGAGGTTGCTGGGGTTGCTTCTCTGGGTGATCCATTGCTTTTATTCATGAAATAGGCCATTTCCAGTTTGGGTTGGACCCAACAAGAGCAGCCCTATATGTCTCTTAGCCTGGCTGTGGTTTATATGGACTGTCTGACTTAGGAACCTCAGGGTTTCATCTTTGCTCTTTTTGGATGATGTTAAGATCCTGACTGCTCTGTGAGGAAACCACCTTTTATTCCCAGTTGCAGCATGAAGGAAATCCACCTTAAAGCCAATTTCTAATGATTTGTGTTGTGGCAAGCCCTGAATAAGGGAGCAACCAAAAGGACACAAACAGACAAATGATAAATGCTTATCTAAGGGGAAGGCTCTGGATACAGAGGTTCTTGTTTACCGGGTCCATCATGGTTCAAATCCTCTCTGTGAGAAAAAAAAATCCTTAATACAAGCAGCTGTTATGAGCTGACTCAGTAGGGTGTTTAGACAATGTAGAGGTCCATCACCTGGGAGAGGTCAGGGAATACAGTAGGTGCTGTTCTGCAGCCTGGTGATGTGGGTCAAACCCCTAATCAGATAGTCAGAACCTCAGAACCCACAGGGTAAATCTAAATATTCTCAGATCGTTGGGCTACAATAAATCTAAGGGAGTCGGGATTTGATAACTCGTCCTGGCTGGCTGTCAACTCCCTACTCAATCCAGCTTTATATGTGACCCTGCCTATGAAAACCCAGCTAAAGTCATTTTTTGGTGAATCTCAACTTAATGTATAAAACCATTCTTAACATTGTGTAGAATGGTTTTATACATTAAGTTGAGATTCACCAAAAAATGACTTTAGCTGGGTTTTCATAGGCAGGGTCACATATGATTACGAACCGTCCTCCTGTGGAAAAAGTTAGTAGCTGATACTCCACCGTATGAACACCTTCCACAGTCAGGGGTCTAATGTCTACGATTCTCTGAGTGAGATGTTTACCAACACGTTTCTAAAGCGTTTGAACATATTTACAGATCTTAGATGATCAGAAAAGCAGATGAACCGTTTTTGATGAGAGATTACCTCCTTATGGTTTCGTTTAAGGATAAACATGGAATGCTTTTAATGAGGGAATAATTAGTCCTTTCTATAAAATAACTAAAAAGCATAGATAACGTAGACAGAGAATAATACTTCAGAGCATTGGCGTAACTGTCTGAAGGACTGGTATGGACATGTCCCCACCAATAATTTCAGTTATTTTCCTCCTTTTCCGCTGATTTACTTTAGCCAACAGTAACTGGGGTTGGGTGCTACTGTCTGTGTTCAATCCGTGTTTTTGCCTCGCTCTCCCGCTGCTCTCGAGTCTCACCTCTTGAAATATCATCAGATCTGTTGCTTTTTGGACATATTATTTGGGGTCGCTATTCACTGCGTACAGAGTAGCTATGAGGAGGAAGAGAGACACAGCAACATCAGTGAATTTTAACTGACTTAGGATACGGGTTGGTTAAAAAAAAAATAGAGATGCCACCAAAAAATCCGTTTGTTACACATACGGAGATTTTTCTGCTAAAAATGTCAACAGAGTGTACATTTATATAAGCTAAAAAAGCTGGGCTTCTCAAAAGACCATTACTCAGAGTTATAGATTAAAATGAACACATATCTGTTGTTTTCTTTTTGAACAGTAAATCCGACTGCAGAGCTTCTAGATATCTTGAAAATTATTGTCTCTGGTATAAATATATTGGTAGACAGGTTCATAAATCTGTTTTTAAGCAGAGTAGAGACACAGTTACAGACAGATGCAGATTTAAAGGTGAATCAGGTTTACTGGGATATGCAACATGCAATTAAATATATCTCGCAATGTCATAATAAAATTCAACATATCTTTTTGTCTTTTTTAGTTCTCAGAAATATATGTGCCAGCCAACCCAGAGACAGCCAGACTCACAGGAAACAGACCTAAACTTAAAATATAAGAAACCTACAAGAATTGAAGCACAAATAATAAAAATCAGTGCATAGTTTTTTGAAATATAAGGTTCAATATATAGACTTCGGTTTTCAATGACAAATGGGATATCTCTAAATTTGATTTTTCTGCTAAATTTGATTTTGCTGCTTGTGAAGGAGGATAATCACTGATGCAGCTTAAAGGAAAGCCATGCACGGATGGATTGATGGAAGTGAAGTTGTGTCCATTCTAGGGATGCAGGATATATTGATGTTGGCATCAGATATCGGCTGTTATTCATCATCTTTTATACATTATTGTTTTTGAGCCCTTTATAAAATAATGCACTAAAGGCAAGCATCTGTCTAGAACTATAAATACCGCAAATGTATTGTGGTTCTCCTGTGTTCTCAACAATAGCAAAGCATTCAATAAATATATGTTTCAGCTCATTTTTGGAAAATATAAACCCTATTAAAAGCGTTCAGGTTAAGTAGCTGTAGGTCCATCAGCTACCACCTTTAATGCGTCCCCACCAATTTTTATCACAAAGTTACACCCTTGCTTCAGAGTACTGTTAAATTTCTCAGCATGGATCACAAAGCTTAGATTCAGGATTTCATAGATCTCTAAATGTCTTAAACTTTATTCCACCAAATAATTTCACAGAAATTAAGTCAGAGGACATTCTATCACTCAAAGAAACATGCAGGATTCATCAGACATTGGGTGGATGTTAAATAGGCGCCTCTTACCCAGAGGAATCTTCTCCAGCAGGTACAGGTAGCTGGCGAAGAAGTCGCTCTGCAGCTTGTGGTGCAGGTGGAAGGACATGCTGTGGCGACACATGGTGTCATCGGTCTCCTTCCAGCGGTCCCTGAATGCCTGGTGAGCACCTTTGAACTCAAAGTTGGCTGAGGTGTTGTTGTTTTCATCTTCGAGTGTAATCTCCATGTTTTTCCCCCCAGCTGTGATCTCCAGAAACTGCCTGAAGGTGAAGGAGACTAACGCTTCAGTGTCTGCAGCGCCTGTATGGGACACAGATTCTACAGCAGCTACTAAATCCGTCCGGCTGAGTGATCAACACGCCCCTGCTGGGGTTCAGTGATCAGCAGAGATCTTTTTCATTCTGGACGTCCCTCCAGATTTACCCATCACCTGCTGGGAGGGTGGGATGTTTAAAGGGGGATGCCTTCTACTTTAAAACCTCTCCTGAGAAACAAGTATGCAGAAAGACACGTCGCTTCACGATCTGAGGGCCTGAAATTCCCCCACAGAACATGAGAATCCAACGGTTAACAGTCATAGTACTGAGATGACACAGTCGTTTACACTTCGCCTTCCCGCCTCTCCAGCTGTTCCAGCTCCTGTATGGTAACAGGGTAGAATGAGGAGTTCTGCTTTAACTGCAAACATTTTTAGAAGAGAAAGATTCAAATGCAGAAATTTCAACACTTGTTGCCTTTGTTTTTATTATGCCAGAACACTATAAGCATGTCCAAAATATGGAAAGATGATTAATGATCCTCTGGTCCAGTCATGTGCTATACTGGCATGGGTTATTAGTGAAGGGCTGACAATGTCTGACAATGGAGTCCATGATGGAGCCTCCATAGACCTGGATGCTTTGATAAAATTACACAGGAAAGAGTACAGGTGCTGGTCATAAAATTAGAATATCATGAAAAAGTAGATTGATTTCAGTAATTCCATTTAAAAAGTGAAACTTGTATATTATATTCATACATTACATACAAACTCATATATTTCAGATGTTTATTTTGTTTAATTTTGATGATTACAAATGACAACAAATGAAAATCTCAAATTCATCATATCAGAAAATTAGAATATTACTGAAGACCAATAAAAACAAAGGATTTATAGAAATGTTGGCCAACTGAAAAGTATGAACATGAAAAGTATGAGCATGTACAGCACTCAGTATTTAGTTGGGCCTCCTTTGGCCTGTATTACTGCAGCAATGCGGCGTGGCATGGAGTCGATCAGTCTGTGGCACTGCTCAGGTGTTATGATAGCCCAGGTTGCTCTAATAGTGGCTTTTAGCTCTTCTGAATTGTTGGGTCTGGTGTATTGCATCTTCTTCTTCACAATACCCCATAGATTTTCTATGGGGTTAAGGTCAGGAGAGTTTGCTGGCCAATTAAGAACAGGGATACCATGGTCCTTCAACCAGGTACTGGTAGCTTTGGCACTGTGTGCAGGTGCCAAGTCCTGTTGGAAAATGAAATCTGCATCTCCAAAAAGTTGGTCAGCTGCAGGAAGCATGAAGTGCTCTAAAACTTCCTGGTATGTGGCTGCGTTGACCCTGGACCTCAGAAAACACAATGGACCAACACCAGCAGATGACATGGCACCCCAAACCATCACTGACTGTGGAAACTTTACACTGGACTTCAAGCAACGTGGATGAAGTGCCTCTCTTCTTTTCCTCCAGACTCTGGGACCTTGATTTCCAAAGGAAATGCAAAATTTACTTTCATCAGAGAACATGACTTTGGACCACTCACCAGCAGTCCAGTCCTGTTTCTCTTTAGCCCAGGCAAGACGCTTCTGACGCTGTCTGTGGTTCAAGAGTGGCTTGACACAAGGAATGCGACAGCAGAAACCCATGTCTTTCATACGTCTGTGTGTGGTGGTTCTTGAAGCACTCACTCCAGCTGCAGTCCACTCTTTGTGAATCTCCCCCACATTTTTGAATGGGTTTTGTTTCACAATCCTCTCCAGGGTGCGGTTATCTCTCTTGCTTGTACACTTTTTTCGACCACATCTTTTCCTTCCCTTCGCCTCTCTATTAATGTGCTTGGACACTGAGCTCTGTGAACAGCCAGCCTCTTTAGCGATGACCTTTTGTGTCTTGCCCTCCTTGTGCAAGGTGTCGATGGTCGTCTTTTGGACAACTGTCAAGTCAGCAGTCTTCCCCATGATTGTGTAGCCTATAGAACTAGACTGAAAGACCATTTAAAGGCTTTTGCAGGTGGTTTGAGTTAATTAGCTGATTAGAGTGTGGCACCAGGGGCCATCAATTTTGAACCTTTTCACAATATTCTAATTTTCTGATATGATGAATTTGAGATTTTCATTTGTTGTCATTTGTAATCATCAAAATTAAACAAAATAAACATCTGAAATATATGAGTTTGTATGTAATGTATGAATATAATATACAAGTTTCACTTTTTAAATGGAATTACTGAAATCAATCTACTTTTTCATGATATTCTAATTTTATGACCAGCACCTGTATAAGATAACCTTGCTCAGTTGCTCAACTTGAGAATACTTTTATCCATCTGTAACATGTTTTGTTTGGTGGATCAGTGTTTTAATCTCTTTAGAGATGGATCAGTTTGTTTAACTATGAGTTCATTTTTGCTCCTTCCAGTCCTAACTGACTTAAATACAGATCTGAAATGAAGTAAAAATGTCTTAGAATACGAGTATTCCATCCTAATCAGAGCAGGTAGGTAAGATGATCTGCAAATAAAATACAGCATTCTTCCCCCTAAAATAACATAATTAGATATTATGGTCTTGAAATAAAGATTGGAGTTGTTTTTTATTATTTTAAAATCAAACCATCTCAAGACATTTGAAAATTGTCTCATTTACCTGCTCAAAATAAGGGAAAAGGCACTTATTTCAGGAATAGGAATGAAAAGACATTTCATCCCAGCGCTGTGTGTCCCGAGCCCGTAACATCATCAATGATGCCTCACACCCCCACCATGGACTGCTCTCTGGGAAGATGCTTCGAAGCATTTGATGCAGGTCCAGCAGAGTCCAAAACAGTTTCTTCCCCCATTGCCATCATACAGTAGCCTGGGTGCCATTCCGAACTTAGTCCCGCCCACAACGTTTGAGGTCGGGAAGTTCAGTCTGGCATTGCTCAGTAGTAGCGCGAGTATGCTTGCCCAATATCTGGTCGGGCCAATTAAATTGTCAGGGCGGGCTTTATACGATGATGGACAGATGATCAACAGTAACGTAATCAACCACGTCACCAAAGCGCGCTTGAGTGACAACAACAATGGCTGCCGCCGGAGAGTTGAGGTGAGTAGATTCTGCTTTTAGGTCTGTTCTAGAAGATATCGACAGCAAATTAATTTTAAAAGAGGAACAGAGAAACACGATCAAGGCTCATCTTCTTATTCTAGGCGTGCAACTGCACGCTTTGATTTTTGTTCACAACAACTGTGCCTGGCTAAACATTCGTCACGCACTCCGTTGGTCTTATTGGTTGTAGGTCTATCCAATTGAGTGCAGAGGCATTTTTTTTCCTGGTTCGTTCGAAACACGCCCCATAATCACAGCTCTATGGAGCAGTATCAGACTCATATTCTGACTAGAATTGAGTAGGACTACGTCAGGCTAATCATACAGCTGAATGTTGAAAAAATTTAGCTGAGGATGAAAAATCACCACCAAGGATTGAAAAAGCTCCATAAATGTGTTAATATAGCTTCTCCAATAAGATGTGTGTCATGTTGCAATGGGTAGCTCTGTTCAACAAGGTTTTGGGTTCGATTCCTGGCCCAGGGTCTTTCTCCATGGAGTTTAAAGGTTCTCTCCAGGTACTCTGGCTTCCTTTCAAAGTCCAAAAAAGGACTGTTAGGTTTACTCACTCTTAGGTGTCAGTGTGTGTCTCTGTGTGTCTCTGTGTTTCCCTGGGACAGACTGGCGACCTAACAGGCTGTACCCAGCTATAGACTGCTGGAGATAGGCACTCGCCCCACAGCAACCCTGATGGAAAGTGGGCGAAGATGGATGGAGGGATGGTTATATATGTACAAAAATGTTGTTTGAACAGACTATGGCTTAACTTTAGCTCCATATAGATGCGCTATTATGAGTTTTTTTGCTGTAGTGTTGTCTCAAAAGGGTCTGTTCAAATTTATATGACATTCTGGTGGATTTCTTCATCCTCTTTGCACCTTTTGCTGCATATTCTTCCTTCTTTTAAAGGAGACTCTCTTAAAACAAAATGGCTGCACATCTGCATGAGAAGTGCTCTTGCAGGACCAGAAATAACTGTATATTTTTGACCTCTCCACACAAATATTTCTCTGCCAGGTTCATTACCAGCCAGAGGCTAAATTTGGACCAGTGACATCAGCTGTCCCAGTGGGAGATATGACTGGTGCTGAGACACTGGAATGCTTCAGGAGAGCATATCTACCATGTTACTGGATCAGTTCCACCTGGCAGTGTCTGTAAGATGTCACATCAATTATGTAACTGATTCTGTTTGGTTTGATTCTCACTTTTGTTTCAGATGTTTTAATTTTATTCGATATAAGAGAACAATGTTCTGTCCAGAGACATTTCAGTAGAATTCTGCCTAACAGGAGCCAACAACTTCTGGAGTCTTCTGCCCTCTGAAGATCAGGATATCTCTGGAAAAACGACCACCTGGACTCTAAAAAAATCAGAGCTAAGATCTGCTGCGTATAAATGGATCACGATTCACAGGTTTAAAGATGAAGCTATTTCTGACACCTATGAAAAAGGCCATGGAATCCGGTAGGGGGCGCTGTGCACGTTTGCATTGCATTACTGTACATAGTAAGCGTACCGGCGGGAAACTGGTTGAATTGCTGGGTCTTTAGCATTACAGGTCATGGCACTCCCACATAATAAAGACAAACTGGCACTGTTTTGGTCATTGTGGTCATTCAGTATGTCCCGATAGTCAGACCTGGCAATTCTGGTTTTAAGAATTCTGGCTTTAATCTCACATTTCTGACTTTTTTTCTGCCTGGAGATGGAAAGTGTATGACTGAAATCCACAAATGTGCATACCTCTGCTATGGAGGACAGATGTGGAGATAAAGCAGCTAGACAATTGCTAGACAATTATTTCCACCACTGCTTGGCCTGGAAAACATTGCATGTGATGTAGATGACATGCTGTGGCTAGGCCGCAACAGAAGAGAGCAGCATATAAGTCTTTTTAGTTTTTTTTTTTTTTACTCTGTGTACAGTAAATTCTTCTGTTCTGTATGTAGTGTATATGCAACTTTGTGTTGGTTGGGAGTTCTGAGTATAAAAACAATATTCTAAAATATTTTACAACACACTTATGTATGTACTGTCTGTAGTAAGTGTAACATTGAAGAAAAAAAGGGCCTAAGTCATTATAAAGAATGGAGAAGTGTTTTCCATTCATCATAGTGT